CCAACCCCCTATAGGCAGGAAACTCTATAGCATTTCAGGCAAATGGCTGTCCAATCTCTTCTTAAAACCTTCCAGCGTTGGAGCATTTACAACTTCTGGAGGCAAGTCCAAGTTCCACTGATTAATTGTTTTTGCTATCAGGAAATTTCTCCTTAGTTCCAGGTTGGATTCCCCTTTCATGACCTTCCACCTATTATTCTCGTCCTGCTTTCAGGTGCTTTGGAGAATAGGTGAACCCCCTCCTCTCTGTGACAGCCCCTCAAATATGGGAAGACTGCTAACATGTCACCTCAAATCCTTCTCTGCCTTAAACAAGTTCTATCTCATCCCCGCAACCATTCACAATATACTTTAGCCCTTTAGCTCTTTGTGTTATAAAGATCAATCTTGATGTGACTTTATTACTCATACCATCAAAAGATAACCAAAGCAACCCACCTGTAGCCTTTTCAAAGCCCATAATCCTGGTCTCTGGAATGCTGTGCCTTTCTGACACAAGGAGAACCTCAGTCCCAATCTTCCCGGCCCCAACCTTTCAAGTGGGAGGCTAACTTTTTTTTTTTTTAAAGGCTACTATTATGCCTTATTATTTATTTCCACAGCCCGCTCAATCCACTTTAATTAAGAATTAGAAGCTTCACAATTACTCACACCGCAGGAGGACAGTATGATGGACGAGAGAACTCTAGAAAATGGAGTCATTCATTTTGAATAAAGGAGAAGCATACATCACCTAGGCACGGAAAAGACAAGGTATAATAAGGATTGCAAGAGGGAACTAATGGAATGCAGCGAGGTCCTTCCTGGAAAGAAGTGGAATGGTTTTTTTTAAATGGGTTTTTTTTTTTTTTGCAATAAAAGGGAAAAAGAAAAGGAAGCTAATGCACCCGATGGATTTTCTAGCATTATATTTAGAGTGGCAAACAAGAGGGAGAGCCGCGTACTTCCTGGTGGGCACTTGGAAGAAGAGAGAAAATCATTCCAGAGCGTCCTTGACATGCAATGGTTCGTTCCGTAACCATTCAAAGTTACAACCGCACTTAAGGGACTTATGACCTTTTTTTTTTACACTTATGACCGTTGCAACATCCCCCGTGGTCACATCATCAAAATTAGAAGCTTGGCATCTGATTCATATTTAGGACAGTTACAATGTCCCAGGGGTCACCGTTTGCAGCCTTCTGACAAGGCAAATCTTTGACTTTAGACCAAACCAGTGGTGGGATTCAATTTTTTGTTTTTACTATCGGTTCTGTGGGTGTGGCTTGGTGGGTGTGGCATGGCTTGGTGGGCGTGGCAGGGGGAAGGATACTGTAAAATCTCCATTCCCTCCCCGCCCCACTAACCTGCTTTCCAGCTCCGTTCTCCTGTGCAGGGCAACAAAAGAAGACCCAGCCGATCAGCTGGGACTCAATGGGAGGCAGAGAAGAGATGGGGGCGGAGCCAGTCAGAGGTGAGATTTGCCGGTTCTCTGAACTACTCAAAATGTCCGCTACCGGTTCTCCAGAACTGGTCAGAACCAGCTGAATATCACCTCTGGGCCAAACAGCAGTAGATTGTGAGCTCTAATCCTATCTTAATCATGAAAGGCAGTTGAGTGACTTTGGACCAGTCGCTTCTCTCAGCCCAACCCACCTCAGAGGGTGGCCGTGGTGGGGGAAACAGGTGGTGAAGGAAGTATTAGGTATGTTCGCTGCTTTGAATTATTTATAAAAAAGAATAAAGGTAGGAAATAAAAAAAAGTTAAAAATTAATAGGAAGGAGCCTATTTTTTTTTGATGGGTCCTTGAACAAATCGCTTCAGAACTGTCTCTTGATGTACAAAAGATCACATTCAAATTAACATATTTTGGAAATGTGCAACACCGTCCACCCAATTTCCTGGAGAAATCTACCATGCTGAAAAAGAGGGAAGGAAAGAGAAGACAAGGATGACTGATTTAAGCAAGGTAGATGGAGTCAGTGACAGCATTGATGGGTGCACCTCATTGGAAGATCTGAATAGTCTGATTGGAGAGAGACAGAAGATCTACTCATGAGGTTGCTAAGACCCAATGCTGATTTGTTGCTACAGAATCCATCCATCAGTTGCTGCCCTTGTATGTTTTGTCAGTAGTTCAAGCAAAGAAGACTTGGAACGGGCCTTGGAGGTCTTCTAGTCCAACCCTGTTCTGAAGCAGGAAACCCTATATCATTTCAGACAAATAGTTGCTCTTCTTAAAAATCTCCAGCGTTGGAGCAGCCACACCTTTTGGAGGCAAGTCATTCCACTGGTTATTTGTTCTCACTGTCGGGAAATTTCTCCTTAGTCCTTCTCTCCTTGATGAGTTTCCATCTGTTGCTTCTTGTCCTGCCTTCAGGAGCTTTGGAGAATAGGTTGACCCCTCTCTTCTTTGTGGCAGCCTGTCACCTTGGACGCCATTTTTTCTTTCAGGCTTCTGGGCTGCCACATTCCATGCCTGGGAATTTGGGTAGGGAGATTTCAAGGAGCGGTGGAAGATTAGCCACAACAACGTTCCTTTCTCCGAACGTCAAGGACATGTTACCCTGCACCTGGAGGGGAGTGACTGGGGGTAATCTCCAGTTGGAACCAAGCGAGGATTGGGCAGTGTGGTGGATGTTGGGTGCAGGGGTTGGATTTGGGGTTTTCTTTGGGTGAGCGAAAACCGGGAACTCTCAGTTTTGGGGTTTCCCCAGATGTGCCAATATGGTATCGCTAATAAAGTGGATCTTTGGGAAGATTATATTCTCAGAGTCTCTTTCTTTGGAGGTTGTTACTTTGAATGCTGACACAGCCCCTCAAATATTGGAAGACTGCCATCAAGTCACCTCTAGTCCTCCTTCTCCTTAAACCAGACATACCCTATTCCTGCAACCGTTCTTCGTATGTTTTAACCTCCAGTCCCCGAATCATCTTCATATAATCAATAAAATTGTTCTCCTGATACATGGACTGATGGGCAATGAATTTAGCAATTTTAGCCCACTGAAATTTAATCAGGGCTGGAGGTGTGGTCATTATAGGAAAAAGATGGAGGGCAAAAGGAGAAGAAGACGGCTGCAGAGGATGAGATGGTTAGATGGCAATGGATGTGAATTTGGACAAACTTGGGAGATAGCCTAGGTGAAGCTAGGCTGGCATGCTGGGCCCATGGGGCCATGACGCGTCGGACTCAACTGACCTACTGAACAGCAACAAAGATGTACTCAAAGAAGAAGAAACAGGTCAATAATGAAGAATCTTAGAAGAAACAGCTCAGCAACAAGCCATCTTAGGTGAAGCTAGACAGACTCACAATTGATACCTGTACAATTAGCACAGCCCCACCCCCCCAACGCTGTGTGCTTTCTCCACTTCACTTCTCCCTATATATCAATGACTGCATCTCAAAGGATCCCTCTGTTAAAATACTGAAGTTTGCAGATGATGCAACAGTGATTGGTCTCATTCGAGACAACGACGAATCTACCTACAGACAGGAGGTTGTACAACTTGCCCCGTGGTGTAACCGGAACAATCTGGAACTGAACACGCTCAAAACCGTAGACATGGTGGTAGACTTTAGAAGAAACCCTTCCATACTACCACCTCTTACAATACTAGACAACACAGCATCAGCAGTAGAGACCTTCAAATTTCTAGGTTCTATTACATGAATAAAATGGACACCTAACATCAAAAACTTCATCAAAAAAGCCCAACAAAGAATGTTCTTTCTGTGCCAACTCAGAAAGCTCAAAGTGCCCAAGGAGCTGCTGATCCAGTTCTAGAGAGGAATGATTGAGTCTCTCATCTGCACCTCTATAACTGTCTGGTTTGGCTCTGCAACCCAGCAGGACAGACACAGACTTCAGAGGATAATTCGGACTGCAGGAAAAACAATTACTAACAACCTGCCTTCCATGGAGGACCTGTATACTGCACGAGTCGAAAAGAGGGCTGTGAAAATATTTGCAGACCCCTCACATCCCGGACATAAACTGTTTCAACTCCTTCCCTCAAAATGACACCATAGAGCACTGCACACCAGAACAACTAGACACAAGAACAGATTTTCCTGAACGCCATCACTCTGCTAAACAAATAATTCCCTCAACACTGTCCAACTATTTAGAAAGTGTGCACTACTATTACTATTAATCTTCTCATCACTCCTTATCGCCCATCCCCTTCCACTTGTGACTGTATGACTGTAACTTTTCGCTTGTATCCTTACGATTTATATTGACTGTTTCCTAATGATTTGATTGCTTATTGTAACCTATGATTATCATTAAGTGTTCTACCTGATGATTCTTGACAAATGTATCTTTTCTTTTATGTACACTGAGAGCATTTGCACAAAGAGAAATTCCTTGTGTGTCCAATCACACTTGGCCAATAAAAGAATTCTATTCCTATTCCTATTCCTATTCCTATTCCTATTCCTATTCCTATTCCTATTCCTATTCTATTCTATTCTATTCTATTCTATTCTATTCTATTCTATTCTATTCTATTCTATTCTTAGAAGAGAAACTAAACTGTCTAGTGTCAGGATTCCAGCAATTAAATTAAATCACGATTCTCGAACCAAACTTCAAAAACCTTCAAAGGATTTATTAGAGGCGACATACTGGCACTGCCCTATATGAAGCTAATTCTGGTCTACATCATTTACAGTCCCCTGTGACCCTGTTTTCCCCCTGGGTGTCTCATAAACCAGATTCTCTAATTGAGCACATTCACAGGCTGGGTGTCCTCATTCCCATTCTTCAATTAAATATATTTGCAGGCAAAATCTCTGGTATTTTAGTTACAATCTTTTACAGATAAGGGTTGGAATGTATTTTTGCTTCCAAATTGCTCTTCCAGATTCCCCCCCCCCCACACACACACACCTTTTTTTTAACGGCAACTACTAAAACAGGCATAGGAATGTTTTATGAGTTGACATCTAGTTTGTATTTTAAAATTTTTCAAGAGGGATCGATCATTTCTCTTTCTCTTTGTTTTCCAGCTGGTGGGATTTGTGTACGCCTGTTACGTTGTCAGTGTCTTTACAGAAGAAGAAGACAGTTGTGAGTATCTGCCGGCACAAATTGCAATCAATGTATATTGATTAAATGGCTTTCTTTTCAGTGTTTAGTGGGCTGTAGCTGAAGATGTCGGTACACGAGAACAGATATTGTTATCAATGGGGAACAAATTGGTTCAATGGATATTTCCAGGCAAATGTAAATGAACTGAAACAAAAGGACAAAAGGCTTTTATATTCCAGTTGTTCTCCATGTCTGTGGAGATTCTCCAGTCATCCAGGTTATGGTGGTCCCAAAAGGTGGTTTTTCAAAAGGCAACTGGACTAACGATCAGATGGCTGCCAGGAGTAGAAATCCTTCCATCCTCCACCATTCAGTCGAAACCAAGGAAGCTTCTTGGATGAGAAGCGAAACCTCTACAAGGAAAAACAAAGTCCAGTTGCCTTTTGAAAAAAGCACCTTTGGGGACAAGGTGTTCTCTAGTGAAAATGCTTACAGAAAGGCACCCAGTGGTGGGATAATCCACAAAATACATCATACAGGGGGGAAAATTATTTGCATAAAATGTTCTTGTTTAGCAAAATGGCATTTAGGTGTCATCTCATGGGTCATGTTTTAAGTCTTGAGTATACTTTATCGTATACCGTAATCTGGTAACTAAAGTGAAAAAAATGAAAGAGGGCAGGAAGAAATCAGGAAGAAGTTCAAGCTTTTTCTTCCCTCTTTCACAAAACTCTCCAAAGAATTCCCTGATTTTATGCAGATGGGCAAGCGAACACTGTTTTTAACATGAACATTTTAACAGTCAAGGTTGGATTTAAACAACCAAAATGCAGCCTTTCCTTCCTTCCTTCCTCTCCTTCCTTCCTTCCTTCCTTCCTTCCTTCCTTCCTTCCTTCCTTCCTTCCTTCCCTCCCTCCCTCCCTCCCTCCCTCCTTCCTTCCTTCCTTCCTTCCTTCCTTTCTTGGTAGAAGAACTGTAGGAGACTGAATATGGAGGAAGAGTAGCGCAATCTGACGATGCATCAAAAAACAGTCTGATGTCGGAATATATCAGGAAAATAATAAAAAAGGAAAGAAGAAAGAAAGATGGAGGAGGGGGAGCAAGGGAGGGAGGAAGATGAGAGGAAGGAAGAAGTGGAGGAAGAAAGGAGGAAGGAAGGAAAAGGAAGAGAGGGAGGGGGAGATGGGAGGGAGGGAAGGAGGAAGGAAAGGGGGAAAGAAGGCAAGGAGGGAAGGGGAGGAAGGGATTGAGGAAGGGAGGAAAGAAAGGAAGTAAGATGAGAGGAAGGGAGAAGTGGAGGGAGGAAGAAAGCAAAAGGAAGACAGGGAGAAAGAGGGAGGAAAGAGATGGGAGAGAGCGAGGGAAGGGGAGGGCGGGATTGAGGGAGGGAGGGAGGAAGGGAGGAGGGGAGGAAGAAAGGCCAGTATTTAAGCAGATGTAGATTCCACATCAGCCAACTTGAAATCTTGTTTTTGATTTTTACGTCTGAGTTTGGAATTACTCTCTGAGCATGGAAGGGGAGAAAAAAAACTCTGTACCTGAGACACTTTCTCAGAGACTGTGGGATTGCTGCCTAAATATATATATTGGCTGGCTCAGGAGATAATGCTATTAGATCACTAATCCTCCACTAAACAATGCATTAGCTTCAAGTGGGTATATTTTCTTCCAGCAGATCAGAGAATGAGTATTATAAAACTGGGATTAGGGTTTAGTATGTCAATTACTTTTCAGAATTGCCTTAAAAAAAAAACTGTTCTTGACCGGGGATTTTATTGATCCAAATGGCAGCAGAGCTGACCTCTGGATTTCCAGGGCTTTCAATTAATTGCGTGCATTGTTTTCACCCTGAGCTAAGATAAATAATGGTAACCAGAAACTCTGCAAGCAAATTGCATCGCATTTCATATGCCTAAAGTGATTTAGTGGCCAGTTGGAGAGAGAGAGAGATTCATTTTTGAAAAGGAGATGCCTCAATTTCTCAGACATTCATGTCTGGACCTGGGGAGGCAAATCTTTTGGGAAAACCTTATTTTTCTTTTTTCTTTTCATTTATTTTTCACATTTGTGACCCAACCGTCACCCTCAGAAGGATTCTGGGTGGTGTACAGTGAAAGGTTAAAATAGAAAAAACACCATACAGGTAGTCCTCAACTTACATTTTAGTAACCATTCAAAGTTACAGCAGCACTCAGAAAAGGGACTTGTGCCCGTTGTTCACACTTATGACCATCACAGCATTAACCCATTGTCCTGTGTTCCAAATCCAGATGTCTGGCAACTGGTTCATATTTATGACGGCTGTGTCTCAGGGGTCACAGGTGATCCCCTTTTGTGACACTCTGACAAGCAAAGTCGAGGGGGAAGCCAGATTCGTTTCCCAACTGGGTTACTGACTTCACAACTGCAGCGATTCACTTAACGATTGTGACAAGGAAGGCCGTAAAGTGGAACAAAACTCACTGAACCACTGTCTTGCTTAGCCAATGGACATTTGGTTGTGAGTCGAGAATTACCTGTATCCTCATGGGACCCTAAGGGCCAGGGGTGGGCTTCCAAAATTTTAGCAAAGGGTTCTCTGCCTGGTAGCTGGGTGGGTGTGGCCATGGTAGGTGTGGCCTAGTCGGCCTCCTGCACCAAAGAGGGAGTGGCATTTTTGCCCTCCCTGGGCTCCGGAGGCTCTCTGGAAACTGGAAACAGGCCCATTTCCGGCCTTCCCAAACTTCCGGGAGGCCCATTTTTTCCCCTCCCCAAGCCTCTGCATGCACCTTGAACTTACCTGCATCCAAAATGGGCTGTGTGGGGATTCCTGGGAGGGGCAGGGTGGGAGGGGTGGGACCAGCCCGGAGTGAGATTTGGGGATTTGTGAACTGCACAGAATCTTAGTTAGGGGCTCTCCTGGACGCCTGTGAAGCCCCTAGCAGCCCATCCCTGCTAAGGGCAATGTTGTGGCCAGTCAGCCACCGACCCCTCCAGCAGTCAAATCAGAGGAGGAGCAGGGGGAAGAGAAGGAGGCATGGGAGTCAGGGCCAGCATCAAGGCAACCTGAGAGCTTGGAGGGGGGAGCTTGCAGGAGAGAAAGAGAGAGAAAGAGAGAGAGAGGTGAAGCCTGAGCCGTCCATCAGCCCTCTGATGGGGAGTCAACAGCGCCCAGGTCTGGAGAGGCTGATGAAGAAGAGGAGGAACAGCTGGGTCCATGTTCTGACCCGGCCTTTGCAGAAGTAAGGAACAGATTTCCTGCAAAGAAAACCCCCCTATTTATTTACACATTGGAATTAACTGCCTTCACCAACAGAAAGTCCAGGCCAGAGTCATGCAAGAAGTTAACTGAAGCAATAGCCCTTATCAGCTCTGTTATGATCAATTCAACGCTGTGAGCTCCCAGCCGGGAGGCTGCAAATGAAGTCAGTTCATACAGAGAAAGAGACAAATCTCTGTTCTGGCTAGGCAGTCTTTGTCGCAGGAAACACACAAGGAGCAAACTTTCCAGAAATGCTAACCATTATCTGTGACAACCAAAGCACTCCCCTTTCCTCCTATTTATTCCCCAGCCAGGGAGGGGCCAGTCAGCATCCACATTTGTTTTGCTTCCGGAAGTTCACCGTCCTCCATTGTTCACCTCTGCTATCTGCTCTGTGCATACATGCATCTAGAACAGGCCCCAGCTCCAAAGGCAGCTGCATCTCCGGCTGGGAAATGGTGGACGGCCCTGGCTCTATCTCCGTGTCCAATGCTGAGCATCCATCAGAGCCTTCCCCAACCTCCAGAAATGGCCCATGCTTTCCCCCAACCTCCTCCTCATCTGAATCTGCCACCATGGTGCTCCACTGGCAGCTGGTGGGCCCCACAACAGTCCAGTAGCTGATGCACGGATGCGCAGAAGGCAGAGGAGAGGAGAGCAGTGGAAATCTATAGGACGATCCTTGGGACAGAAGAGCCACTGTTGCTAGCGAGCTGCCCTAGCTTTGGGGATAAAAGACAGCGGGTGGAGATGAGTATGCCTGCCAGACAGACTTGTTAGCCTGCTGTGAGAGAGAGGGAGATTTTTTTCCTACTAAAGGGAACATTTATTTAACTACAGAGGGTTTGTCGTGTTTGGGAGCCGGGTCAGAACAGGCAATTTGAGATTTACCCAGCACCATCACTCATTTATCGGTTGTCCTTCTCCAAATTAATAGAGATAGAGACAGGAAGAACATTTAAGCAGCTTTTCTCTTTCTTCCATTCTCATCTCTTTATCTGTCTCATCCTCTCTCTTGTTCACTTGTCCGTTTAATACACGGGGCTGGCATTTTGGAAGGACGACGACATGGGATGGGAAGCAGCATTGGAAAGAGAAGAAGGCAGCAAAGCTGGAGAGGGGGAAAAAAATAATCTGTATTTCTCAATAACTACAATGGAAAGCAGCGGTGTGGCGATGATTTATGAAGAAAATCCATAGCTAGTTTCAAGCTGCTTCCTCTGCTCTCGTCTTGCAAGGGGCCAAGTCACCCAATAATTAATACCTTAAAAACCACTGATATTTCAAACTCTAGAAGGACATGGCCTTCCACTGACCAGAACTAATTGGCGGTGCTTTTATTCTCTGCAATTCTTCGAAATTGTTCCTTGGATACGAAGCAGGGGAGACCGAGAGGTTTCTGATCAGGTGACATCATCCCCAAAGGATGGGTCAGACCATAAAAATCAACTCCACAAAGGACCCAAAATTTCTTTTATCAAAGACAGGCTGTTGTAATAGAATCTTAGGAGTCTGATTACCCTGCAGAAAAATTGCCACATAAATCTAAGGTCATCACAGGGGGATACACGAAGGCCTGAAGAAATGTTAGGATTTAAATATTGGTTCAGTTTTAAGCCTTGGTGTCAGGATTCCAGCAGTTACCCCCATTTAAATCATGAGTCTCGAATCAAATTCCAAATCTTAAAAAGGATTTATTGGGAGTTAATATGTCTGGCACTGCCTGGGTGTAGCCGTCGCTGAGACACATCATTCATTGTCACCCTTGACCCTGGTTTTCCCCCACCTTCTGTGTGTATCATAATTCATATTCTCCAATGGGACACCTCCATAGCCAAGAGTCATCAATCATAGTCTCCAGTTAGAATTTTGCGTGGCAGAAACTTCAGTCACTTAGTTACTATCTTTGAAAACTACCTATGGAATGCAGTTTCGGTTTGCAAGCTGCTGCACTGCTCCCCTATCCCTTTCTGTTGACACTTGGGGGAATCCGTGGCCACAAAAGATATTTAAGGGGGGGTCCCTGGTGAAGAAAAAATTGAGAATCATTGTGATAGTAATGAGCAGTACTTCAATAATGCATCACTTTATTTGAATAATAATAATAATAATAATAATAATAATAATAATTTCAATCATATGGATTGCCCTTGACTTACAACCATTTCTTTAGTCAATGGTTGAAGGTACAAGGGCACTAAAAAAAGTTACGACTGGTTCTTGCACTTATGACCATCACAGTCACATGATCAAAATTTGGGTGCTTGCCAACTGGCATGGATTGATCAGAATAACAGAGTTGGGAGGAACCTCGGAGGTCTTCTAGTCCAACCCCCTGCTCAGGCAGGAAAACCCCATACCACTTCATACAAATGGTACAGGTAGTCCTTGACTTACAATGGTTCCTTTAGTGACCGTTCAAAGTTAGGCACTGAAAAAAAGTGACTTATGACCGTTGTTCACATTTATGATCGTTGCAGCATAATCCCCATGGTCACATGATCAAAAGTCAGATGCTTTGCAAGTGATTCATATTTATGATGGTTGCAGTGTCCCGGGGTCATGTGATCCCCTTTTGCAAACTTCTGACAAGCAAAATCAAGGGGAAGCCAGATTTACTTAACAACTGTGTTACTAACTTAACTGGAATGATTCACTTAACAACAGTGTGTGATGACCCGGGGCATGGCACAAAGGCAATACAGTCAGATAAGCAATAAGAGTCCCTTTATTAGCTCCAACTTTGCCCCCAATATCCAGGTTACCTTCTGGCTGGAGAAAAACTCTCCCAGGAGCAGTCTTTGACTGTAGAAAATTCAGTCCAAAACAAGGGGCACACAAACTGTAACTTAAAATCCAAACAAACCAAACTGAAGTAAACTGAAGTAATTTCTAGCAGGAATTTCAAACTTGAAAGCCCGGCAAAACTCACACAGTTGGGAAGACACCAGGAACACAGATAAGCCACAACGATACAAGATAAATTCACATTTGCTCCCAACAGCTTGCCTTTTTATACACACTTGTGTTCCCAGCTGCAGCTAATGAAGGGGATCAGGGCCCTCTCCTCCCCCATAAGCCATGCAACCCACATTGCTCTCATCTCCATTCCTCCCTGCATGCCCTAGGAGGAAGAGAGTGTGGGCCTGGGTCTTCCTCTGAACTCCCTCCCCCTTGTTCTACCTCTTCCCCGTTCTGCCCAGCTGGACTTTGCCTTCCCCAGCCCCCTCCACAGCCAAAGGAGCCACACTCCCACTCCCTGTCAGCTGTTCATCTTCTTCCTCAGATTCAGACTCTGACAGGGACATGACAGGGAACAATTAACCAGTGCTTGCCTCCAGAGGTTGTGAGTGCACAATCACTGGAAGGGTTTAAGAAAAGATTGGATAAACTTTTGCCTGAAATGGTATAGGGTCTCCTGCCTGAGCAAAGGGAAGATAATCTCAGGATCTAGATGGATCTTGACAGACTTGAACCCTGGGCCCTATTTAACAAAATGAAATTCAACATAGAGGAAAGTAAAGTCTTACACTTAGGCAAGAAAAACCAAAAGTACACACATAGAACTGGGTGAAACCAGGCTTAACAGCAGTAACTGTAAGAGGGATCTCGGTGTCTTAATGGACAACCAATTAAATATGTGCCAACAGTGGGTGATGGCCAATGCAATCCTAAATTGCATTAAGAAAGGGATACAATCAAGATCAAGTGAGGTACTAATATCACTCTATAAAGCCCTAGTAAGACCATATCTAGAGCACTGCATCCAGTTTTGGTCACCACACTATAAAAAAAGATGTTAAGACTCTAGAAAAAGTGCAGAGAAGAACAACCAGAATGATTAGGGGACTGGAGGCCGAAACATACAACGAACGGTTGCAAGAACTGGGCCTGGCTAGTCTAGTGAAGAGAAGGACCAGAGGAGACATGATAGCGGTCTTCCAATATTTGAGGGGCTGCCACAGAGAGGAAGGAGTCAAGCTATTTTCCAAAGCACCCAGAAGGCCAGACAAGGAATAATGGATGGAAACGGATCAAGGAGAGATTCAACCTAGAAATAAGGAGAAATTTTCTGACAGTGAGAGCAATCAATCAATGGAACAGAAGATACTTCAGAAGTTGTGGGAGCTTCATCACTAGAAGCTTTCAAGAAGAGACTGGACTGCCATCCTTCAGAAACAATGTAGGGTCTCCTGCTTGGGTAGGAGGTTGAACTAGATGACCTACAAGGTCCCTTTCAACTCTGTTAATCTGTAATGCAACTCTGTTATTCTGAAAAAAGTGATTTATGAACGTTTTTTACACTTACAACCGTTGCAACATTGCCAGGATCACACGATCAAAATTTGGACACTCAGCGACTGGATCATATTTATGATGGTTGCAGAATAACTGTTTGTCTGAAATAGGATAGCTTTTCCTGCTTGAGAAGGGGGTTGGACTAGAAGGCCTCCAAGGTCCCATGGTCCCTAATCTTCCAACTCTGTTAATTATTATCTGTTATTCTATTAATTAAACGGCTTGAGTAGCATCCTATGGCTAAAGTCTATATCTGCAGGTTTTCATTTTATAGAATCAGGCATTGCTTGTTTGCATACAATTTGGGGAATTTCCTAGCGCTATCATGTCCAAATGATAAAAAACATGGAACAATTAAGTCTGCGTTTAATTCTCCTGTAGAAATCAACGGGGCTGTTGCCTGCTTGGATGAGTTCATGCCCTTTTATTTTGCACCTCTGTTTGCCTTTTCTTTTGTGTTTTACGCCTGCTTCTTTGCATCCTCTTACGGGCTCTCCTCCTCCCCTTCCTTTCATTGTGTTTCAGTTGTGCCATTGTTATTGCTTGTGTTGTGGATTCTTTTTTCTTTCAGTTGATTTCATTGGTGGATTTGACCCATTCCCTCTCTACCATGTTAATGAAAAGCCTTCCAATCTTTTGTTCAAGCAGACGTACCTGTAAGTATGCTGTAGCGAGGCTCCAAGGCTCTTTCCTTTGTGATTCTTGAAATAATCAAAGAATTTTATTAAGGGTAACTGCAAGATGTGATTTTTTTTAAAAAAAAAAGCCAAAATGGCTTCCACAAGGGTACACAATCCAAGTTCCACAAAGATACACTGCCCACAGAAAATGGGTAGAACTTGGTAGCTGTCTGTTTTTCTAAATCTGTCTGTCTGTCTATGTATCTGTGTCTGTTTGTCTGTCTGTCTGTCTACTTATCTATATCAATCTATCACCTATATGCCTATCTCCTATCTGCCTGCCTGCCTGTCTGCCTGCTTATATCTATCTATCTATCTATCTATCTATCTATCTATCTATCTATCTAT